ATCATCATCATCATCGGTCGGATGGAGGCCATAGGTTAATATGGCAATTAGCCAAGAGCTCCCAGTGTAGCCAACAAACACCAAGTGCGCAGTGAAAATAAGAAAGCCGTCCGAATGTTAACTGACAGTGGACAGACGGGCAATTAACAAATCCCAGATATCAGACGCGACTACCCAATCTTCTCTATTGGTCATAACTTTCAAATGTGATTAAGGTCGACAAGCTGCCAGCCCTAAAGCAAAATACGTTGAAATATGTAATAAAATCGAAATAAATCGACAGGTTCTGAGCGCAATAATAAATAATTATGTTGTTTTATTGATGTGGGCCAAGACAACAAAATCAAAATGCGTTGGCCAAATCAGTTCTGGCCGGCACGGCCGGCACACCGACAAACAGCCCACGGCCAGAACGGATGCTGGACTATGGGCACACACAATCTCTGGCTATGTATTTCAACAGGTTCACGCCTCTATCGACAGCATTAAAAAAAAAAATAAGTAAAGAAAGCCAAAATCTGTGCAACAACACATTAAGTGGCAAGAGGGGGCCGCAACAGCGGCTTCCCAAGATCGCCAAACCAAAAGAAGCCGCCTCAAATCCAAAGGCGTTGTCAATAAAAATGAAAAGGGGGGAAAAGCGAAGAGAGTTATGTTCAGTAAGCCGAAGTTAAAATACCCCTTAAGAAGCTGGACTTATTGTAAGCAATTGCTGCCTGTAACAATCGTTATGAATATACCCCTTTTGGTGTACTTTTTGGGCACAGGGTATGGAACAGAACATAAATCGAACTGTCGGCCGCCGCTCGACTTGCAAGTGGTGCACATCAAATTTGAACAGTTTTTCAAGTGTTTATGACGTTACATGGTGAGCTCTGGAAGGGTGGGACGAGTGGAACGAGTCCGGGCTTAACCGGGGGTAACTGTGGCAACTGAGGCAACTGTGTGGCTTTTTGGATTGGTGTGATTATCGTGAGTAAACTATCTCCCAGCTGGTCTGTGGGTCTCTGGTCTCGGGTCTCTGGTAGTGCTGCATTAACAGCCGCTGCCGGTTATACATATATGTTTTTTTCGTTTTATGAAGATGAATTTCTTTTTTATTCGAGATTTATACGCGGACGGCCCCCAACTCCCCGGCTCCACACTGGGATTCTCTGCTGTTGAACTCTACAAGCTCTGCACGGCTGGAGCTCCAATTACTTCACTCACTGTTGATTATTATGTTGTATGTTGTAGTTTTATGAGTTGTTGTTGCTTTTGTTTCGGTTGTTGTTGTTGCAGCAGAGATTCCGCAAAATCAATGGAATGGTTGGCTGAATGTGAGTTTCGCTTTTGAGCGAGTGCGTGTTTGAAGTGTGTGGAAATGGGATAAATATTGTATGAAATATTGTTAAAGCGAATATGCCAGTCCTTTTGTTCAATCGCAATTGGTTGTATTGCTCTTCTATTAGTGGAACAGAAAGTGCTCAAGCATATTAAAAACATTATCCAAGCACAACAAGAAAATCAGAAATAATATTGCTAATGGATGGCGTTGCCCAGACAGACCATAAATTCTAATATGGAAATATTCAGCTGTTGGCCAAACACGCCAAACCACGAGCTAAGAGCTGAATCAAATCAATTGATTAAACATTGCAGTATTATTAATCTTACGTATACTTATGAAAAACTTTAGCCCAGTTAACTTAATCTTGCAACCTAACTCCATATAGATGAATCAAGTCAAGTTTGTCATAAGCAAAAACTTAAAACTTTTAACTTTTCCTCAAACATTCATTAACATATTTGTAAGCCATGGAAAGCCCATACAGTTTTCATAAGAATCATAAATATATAATATGTATATTATTTTCATCGTAAGGCCGAGTCGCACCTGTTGCTTCATTTTGGTCTGCCGCTCGCGCTAATGAGCCGGACTTTGGGGGTCAGCAGAATGACACAATTTACATAGAATCCACATCAAATGGCAGGGTATCTGGCATATATCATTTTCAATAAGCCGCATCGCATTGCTGCGATATCTTTAGTGACAATCTGGCGGCGAGTTCTCACCGTGCGGCATAAATCACGAGCGGGGCCAACCGAAACCAGTTTCTGTTTCTGTTTCTGTTTCTGATCTAGCGCAAAAGATCTACGCGCATAAATTCAAATTAGATAAAAATAAACTTTTACCAGGCAGGTGATTTAGTACTTGAACCAAAATATAACAACAACCGCAACTCGACGCAGGTGTTTCGATGCCAACTCAAAAAAAAAAAAAAAGAAAAAAATGTAGAAAAAATAAGAGAAACAAGTTTTCTAGATTTATTCTCAAGTCTTATTTTTGCCTACTTTACTTCGACTTCGACTTGACATATTTGCCTGCTAATTTCATGTTATTTATGCGGCCGTTGTGCATTTTTTGTTGTATGCCCCAAGTCCCCAAGCAAAGACAAACAATGGAGAGCTTAGCACTTGCTGCCGGGTGCTGGGTGGGGTCGTGAGCTCTCCGGCCTCAGCTGTGGGCCCCCGAGCTCGGCAACTTGAGCCTATTGTTTGTCTGACAAAATGACAATTACATGTTAAGAATTTCAACAAAAAATTATTAAAATAAATATTTGTACGCTAAACAAATTGCCTGTCGAGGCTCCGGTCGAAGCTGTGCATAATTTAGTAAATGTGTGTGTCCGTGTGTGTGCGCGTGTGCTACACTTAAAAAAATAAACACAGAAATAAAATTGCTATTGATACAGCTGAAATGGACCTTAGTTTTTTTTCATAAAACATTTAAAAGTTTCTGAAAGCGAATACGATCTCTGCTTAACATAGGTCGGAGGTCAGATCAACTTCTTCAGATTCCTGGCTGAAAGGTTACAGCCCATGAGGCGAATCATTTACCTTACCTATAAATATATTAGAAAGACAATATACGCACTCTTATTAGAGTTTATATTGTGTTTGATATTAAGCTTTGTCTCTAATCCCCTTCATAATATTGTTGCTAAACTATTCTTAGTCTCTACCAATCTCTCTTATCTCTATCGGGTCAGGTCCTGATCGCTTCCAGCGAGTATAAAGGACGCCACTAGAATATTAAATATTGACTTATAATAGAAGCCTCTAACATGTAGATATATTCAGATATATTCAGTGTATGCAGATCATAAAAATAGTCCACAATTGAAATAAATTCACAATTCAAAGAAATTCATTAATGAAGCTCACAAAAGTACTGTGAATTGAATATCGAGTACCATTATTTGTTAAAAAATTAAAGCCTAATTGATAGATACCCAAAAAAAAACTCTGCCAAGCAGGTAAGACCTGAGCCCATCAACATGAATGCATTGTCAGTTTTCCACAGGTGATTTATGCCTTTTGCCAACCTCATTTTTGCCGCATCCCACGCCTCAAGCTAGCACCTTGAGCAAATAGTAAGATAAACAAAAACACAACTGAATGGCGGCTCTTTATGCAATCCAGCAAAACAGTTGCCGCAACTGCAGCCGCGAGTCTCATGTGAAAATTCACACTGCCATCGTGTGGCAAACAGCAACGACAATTGAGAAAAGGCCTTGGGCCAGACCAGGGCGGGGATTGGCAACGGGCATAGGAATTGGCTGGGTTGGCACTTCATTAAATAGACGCTGCGGCGCTTTTCCGAGCCGTGCCACGCCCCCAACATTATCCACTGGGGCAACTGAACAGTCAAGCGGCTGCTTATTTTTCACACATGCTCGCCAGGAAAAACAACAAAACCAACAACGGAGCAAGCAAAAGAGCAGAAAGAAAAATAAAAAGAAAAGCAGACAACGAGGCAAAAATTTAAGCAACAATTTTTTTCGTCTGATTTTTTTTTTTCAAACGCTGTTGTTTATGATGACAATTTTTTTCGTTGACGACGTCGACATGTGGCCATAAAGTTGTCGGTAAATAACAAACAGGCGTCGACTCGCCACACGCTACGCAGCAGGCTCTGGCAGCGGATAGGGGTAGGATGGGAGTGCCTCCCACAAGGGATGTCAGCAAAATGGCAAACAAAAAAAATAAAAAAGAAATGAAGAGCCGTCAAATTTTGCTGTCATACTCGTGTGCACGGCAAACGTCGAGCTGAGTCCTGACTAGCCGCAGCGGCTGGCAAAAAGTATCTCAGGGTTGGCAGGCAAAAAGTATCTCAGCGAGTCGCAGCGCTCGTAAGCATGTTAAATGCATTTCCTTTTTGGCTGCAAAATGTGCGCAGTTGTATTTCAACTTGATTTCGTAATATCTTTCAGCTGTTTCCCCAGACTTTTGCCTCAAATTATGCCCAATTGAGCGCAACATTTGCCGCATTATGCAAATTGTTTTTATATTTATATGAATTTTGAAAATTCACTTATTTTTGCTTTATTGCGTTTTTTTTTTCCTTTTAAATAATGAGCGTGACATTTGAATGTCTGAGCTCAGCTTAAAAAAACAATGATACTTTTTTATTCAGCCTTTGTCTTAAATTATATTTGTACTTAGCTGTTGGAACCTGTTTTATTGTCATAAGCCAAAAATAATTTAATGGGCGACCTTGAAATGTTGAAATGTTGCTAATGTGTGACTATAATTAAGGATTAGTCACAGCTTGGCTTGGATTTAATTTAAATAATGTTCTTGGTGCAGCTTGAATTCGCTATGAAATAATTGCCTTGGCTTGAGTTAGCAATTTGCGGCATTTCATTTTTGCAATTTTCAATATCCTATTTTACGTATTTTATGCAAATGATATTCTTTAATACTGATTTGTGATAGGTGCAAATATATGAAATATTTTAACTGAAATAGGCTCGACTCACATAATTATATTAATTTAATACATTTAAAGCTGTTATGATTTTAATTTCACAATTTGCTTTAGAAATTGAAAGCAAGAGACCTCAAACCTTGAACGTAAGTCCATCTAGCATCACGAGTTTCTTAGATCAGATATATGATATATATATATATATAAAGCTAACTTCTAGAGGTTCCAATTATTTGATGGCACTTACCCATAAACTTTCTGAAGCCCTCAAACATGTGTATCCACTCGTCGACTAATCCACACACAATTTGGGCTGCGTATAATCTGTAATGAAGAGCAAACATATAAATTTAATATGCTGTCCCATAAATTTTCCGCTGCACTTAAAAAACCGAGATGAAATCGTTCAAGTCGAATACGAAAAATATCTAAAAATATTTCCAATTAAAGTCGGTCTGACGAAGTAAAGCGAAACCGCACACAAAAAAAAAAAAAAAAAAAAATGTTGCTACCGAAATGTGGAAAATGTTTTGTCATCTGTTACGTTTTAAACCAAGCAAAAGGATTGACAACGAAATTTAATACGCAGCGAAAACTTAAACTAAGTGAAAATTAATAGCGGGCTCTTCATCAGAAGAGGAAGACATACCAAAAAAAAAAATAAAAAAATATAAACAAAAACAACAAAACTTTCACTTGAAATTTGTTGAAACAAGAAACTTGAAATGACTTTTTGAACTGTGAACCGAAACAGCGAGATGAGCGCAGTTGAGTTAGGATGAGCTCTGAGTCGAGGCATCATAAATATAAATAATACACATATTTCGAAGTGTGTCTCCCTGTAACTGACACGCTGATGGCTCTTAGCTGGGGCAGGGGCATGAACTGGAAGAGCTGCCGCCTGCATGCCACAGCAATTTGTGTGTGGCAGCCTCTGCATAGCGACAACATTTTGACACACTTAAGTGTTAGACAGCCGACTCGACAGAGCTCCGACAGCCTGCATCATCATCATCATCTTCATGATCATAGTACAAGCTGTCAGAGGGTCGCGGCGATAAATTTGGAAATTATGAACATAATTCTTCATTAGGCCACGCATCCGATAATGGAACTGAAGAGGCGTCCAAACGTAACGAAACGAGAGTGAAACAGCAGAAGCGACTCCCCCAAATCTCCCATAAAGCTATCCACAAAAACTGCCCACACTCGCTTTCATTTGTTGCTGTTGTTGTTGTTGTTGTCGTTGTTGTTGTGGGAAGCCTAACGCCTGGTGATAAATTGGCGATATTACGCATTCGACTTGGGGACTATTTCCATTTTTGCACGTGGGCGTTACCGAAATTCCCGCCCAAGTCCCAGCATTTCAAGAATGCCACAAAACGCACACGCAGCCCAATAGATAACCGGACTGGGAGATAGACCCATTGATAGAGCGGCGATTGTTTGGCATTTAAATTGAAATAACGTGATTTTTGTGGTCCGCTGGTCACAGGTCCGCCGCATGTCAGAAGTCGAACGGGCGCTGAGGTGGAGGGGAGAGAGCCAGTGGCCAGTGGCATAGATTTCACCAAACTATTCCGACTATTGTTTTGCGGTTTTGCGCAGATTTTGTTTGGCTTGGGTTTTTTTTTTTTTTTTTGGGGTTACTTTTTACAGGCTTAAATGAATCGGAACGCACTTTTCACTCGCTCTTTGGGGGTCGTTATGTGTGGGTGGGTGCGGCTTTTGTTCGGCCTTGTGTGCATAGCTTTCCAGCGAGTTATGACCTGCGGGGCCGAGGTGACATTGGCAATTGGCCAAATGTTTGGCGGAGAAATGTGTACAAAATTTAAAAAATCAATAAAATATTGAAGGTCTGTGCTTAAAAACATTTTATTGAAATAGTTTAATAATTAAAAATACGAAAAAAAAAACAAATTACAAGTCTCTCCCCGACGGGGAATTGAACCCCGGTCTCCCGCGTGACAGGCGGGGATACTAACCACTATACTATCGAGGACGTTAAAACCCTAACGTCTAAAACTGAACATGAAACGTCATGAGCAGCAGTTACCAAAAAACAAATACGTTTGAATTGGCAACGCAAGAACAAGAACAATGTCGGGGGGAAGCGTTAGCAGCAGGTACAAAAGTTCATGTTTGTGAGCCGTTTATTAATCACACACAAATACTAACAAGTTGGGCGTATGTATTTATGCAGATATAAATAGCTTGAACGGAGAATAAAGCTTTTGCGTAAGTTTTGCCATTTGCTTTTGCTTTTTATTATGTTTATTATGCGACGTCATTGCTGATTTTATGCTTATGAGTGCTTTAGCTTTTGGCATTTCGATAGCGGCAAAGCTCAAAGCAAGAGAATTTCTATGAGACGTGACGTCACAATTGTTGTGGTTCATTGAGTTAAGCTGTCAAATACGTAGCTGGATAAATCAATAACGTAAACTTCCGATTTGATGAGGAAATTGAATGTATTTGAGAAACTGTTTATAACTTGCATGCATTCAAAAGAACTATGTGTATATAAGTATATTTGTGTATTTGGATTTTTGAGCATGTAAAGACCCATACAAACGCAAATGCAAATACAAACACTATATAGATATATCCATAGTAATATTACGTACTTAAATATAAATGCATTTTTGGCTCTGTATGCACTTTGATGCACTTTTGCAAACAACCGAATCGACACTTATATTTATGTAGTACGTAGGTTTAAATGCACAAATGTATGCACCTTCTCCTTTGTTCCACTTTGGCAACACTCAAAAGCAGTCAACACGTCAACTTTGTTGATAACATCTCTTTAGAGACCTATTACAGAAACTATCAAACAACTGGCAACAAAGTGACGCAGTCCCAAAACGATTTCTAAACCATTCAGTCATAATGCATAAAGCATAAAGCGAATATAAGAAAAAAAAAATAAAATAAAATAAAAGCTCGCCTCTCGGTGCTCCACATGTGACTCGACATCGACTGTGTTGGGTATCTCACAGTCCAATTCACTCGGCGCGAGAGCGAGTGAGCTGGGAACAGCGGCACGCGGCGACCACAGAAACCGCAAGGTGCGTTTCTGCTGTTTGCTGTTATTATTATTCGTGTTATTGTTGTTGCAAAACCACCGGCAAAAGGATGAAAGAAACAAAAATGCACGCAAAAACAAAAAAAAAATAGCAGAAACAATTACACAAACAATTCGATTGCAGTCGACGCTGCTGTCGCCGCTGGCACCATGTACGCCACTCAACTGGCACTCAACTGGCAGCGGCAGCAGCAGCAGCGGCAGCGGCAGCAGCGGCTCTCCCGCTCGTGCGCTCGCACTCCCTTTTTGTGTGCAATCATGCAAATAAAACATTTTTTATATGCATGCCTTTGTGTGTGTGCGTGCAAAATTTTAACCCAAATATTTTGTAGACATGCAATATTTATGCTACAGCAACAAGAGCAACAAAACTGCAAACAGGCGCAATTACAACAATAACAATAACAGTCAGCAGACAGGCGGGCGCAACAACAAATATAACAGCAACGTTTTTGATGTAATGGACTTTTGCTACTTTGCAAATGGGTTGATTTTTTTTCTTCAATTTTTCTTTTTTTTTCGCAACAGACAAACCTACCCCCGCCGCAGAGCTCAGCTGAATGGGCCTTTGCTTTTGGGCGGGCAGCTGTGTGTTTCGCCATTTATTGTACTGCAAATGTCCCTTAATGCAGCTGTCCCTCAAAACTCTCGCTCACACTCTCGCTCGCTCTGCCCCTCTCGCTCAACTGTTTACAGTGTAAAGCTTGCGTTGTTGTCTACACTCTATACTCTCCGCTCTCCGCTCTCCGCTCTCCGCTCGACGTGTTTAACGAACAATTTTCGCATGCATTTCTAATTTTCATAAACACATTAAAATGATAATTAAAAGGCATTTCAGCATTTCTCTTTTTTTTTCGGTGTTACTGCGAAATGTTGCTGCATTTGCTGCTGCTGCTGCTGCTGCTGCTGCGGCTGCTTCTGCATTATTTATTTATTATGTATGCAAATGCATTTAATTGCATGGACAGCGCTGTCGTTGCTAGCAAGGAGTGGAGAGAGCTTTGGGGATGCCCAGCGCCAACGTCAAACAATTTGCATATTTTAGCATGTAATGAAATTTGTAATAATTCTGCAATTAATTGCGTGCGTGTCCTTGTTTATGGCCACTGCAAAACCTACGTGCAACAGCAGGCAGCAGCAGTAACTGGAACAGTTACAGTAACAGCCACACATCAACAGCAGTAGCAGTAGTTGCCATGTGTGTGTGTGTGTGTGTGTGTTAGTGTGTGGGCTGCCTACATGTGGACACACATGAATTTCACAGTTGCGGCATTTACTTTTTCACTGCTGCCGCCGCTGCTGCTGTTGCTGTTGCACAGTGTAAACACACCACAGTTGCTTGCGGCATTTGACAAGCTGCGGATTTTGCATTAAAGTGAAAGCTTTTCATTATTATAATGTAACGGTAATGACTATATGACTACTGACATAACAATAAGCGATTGTGGGGCAATTTGATAATTACGTGCGACTATATGCATACCCTATAAAATCTATAGATGCATTTAAAAACTTTGCAGCATGCTTAATCGAAGCGAGCGGCTTTTAAGTTAATTAAATATTATTTAATTACAAAAAGTTCAATTTATGAATAATATTGATACTTTTTTAAATTAGAAGCACTTGCAACAAACAGAAGTCGAGTTTGACCTCGTCTCCTGAAACTGACAATGGAAAATAACGAGATTTTCCATTTTCCAGCTCGCATTTCTATGCATTTACTTTGCAAAGTGGCATGTTTACAAGCACATTTCGAGATAAATATTTTGTTGGGAGATTTCTAGTGTGCCTAAGATGCACATAAAGAAAACACACGTAGTGGTTCGGTTAAATGTTTAATGGAAACTTCGAAGCATGAGTACAAAAATCTGAACAAGTACTCAATTACAGAATGAGTACTATGCTGATACAATGTTGCCAGATTATAAAGAAGCTTAACAGCTTATTGTCACTATTTTAACACTTCTTCTTAAGCTAATTATAATCAGTTGCAAAATAACAAATTTAATTCAATCCAAGTGTTTTTACAAAGCCTACGTGCTTTTGCTTACTTAAACATTTTGTTAGTATATCTGCAACATTATTATTTGTAGGTACGTATTCTAATGCAATATCATTACATTGTACCTTTTCACGTATAAAATGATACCTTATGTCTATGTGCTTAGTGCGCTTATGATGGACTGGATTTTGCGCAATATGTTGCGCGCTTAGGTTGTCGCCACATATAGTCAAC